CCAAGAAAAGAAAGGTTACAACTAGTCTGACTAGCACAGTGCAACTGCCCATCGTTAAAGCTTTCTGAAGTCTACAGAACCCCTCCAAAATAAAGATTGTAAATACTTAAACTGTTCCGAAGTCACGTCCGTAATAAGCCTAATATCTGATCCGACAGACGGGCATTTTATTTTGGGAAATCTCCAGCGATAGACTGAATATGAAAAAACCTATAACTTGGAAATCAATGGTAAACACTGCAGTTACGCTGGTAACATAAGAACAACCAGAATATCGATAAAACAAAACTCTAAAACATGGTAAGCATCCAATAAAAAAGGGTACTTGAATCAGTATCGGCATTTTTTGCATCATACGTTTCACTTTCTGCGACAAGTTTAAACACTAAAAATAACAGTATTCAATGAGGCGCAGTACTCGAATCAGGGTCTGAAGAAATATTAAGTAGAACCTTTTTACAGTCGCAGCAACCATTTGGGCACCTTGTGCGACTATGAAATGGAACTTCGTAACCATGGTTTCGACATCGCCTACAACCCCCTGAAATGGTAGAAGGGTAAGCTAAAGTGCAAAGACATAACTTCATAAAGAATCACTTACTATAACGTTTCTGAGGCGAAGACTTTGCCAGAGAATATATGGCCAAGTTTTCTGGTGAAAATGTAAGTGTTCCATCTAGAATAAAAGCTGCCTTTGAATTCACATCGTTTCATGAGTTTACAGTATGAAAAAAAATTATTTACTTTGACTCTCAGACACAGCCGCAGTTCGCTGTACTAAACTAGAATCGATCTGTGCCGCAACATTCGACTGCGCTCCTTCCACCACAGTTTTAAGTGGTTCACTATTCCGAGCGGAAAACATCGAGGGGACATCTAGGCATTAAAAGAAAGGTTGAAAATATAAGCAAAAAAAAGCAAAGAAGAACTGGTAAGATGTTGTTTAGACTCATTATTCATCGTAAAAAAGTCACATAAAAAGTTAATCACCATGTGAATTATGCTCCTTGGTTGAATGCGCATTGTTTACATCATCTGAACAAGGCTTTTTTGGAGCAACGTCACAATGCGTTGCTTCTGAATCTGAAAACGACATCTCTGCAACAGATGAACGACAGGATCGTGCTTCACGTGAACATCCACTCTCCTTGACAAAATCAGATGAGTTTTTAGCCCTCATACTATGCACTTTTTCCACAACTGACGAAACTGCATCGGAACTCGAAACATGTCTCTCCTTCTGACCTTCATTTTCCGTCCTGGAAGCTCCTTTTGTGAAAGAATCAGGTAGATCCAACGAAGAGAGAGAAACTATTTCAATAGTTTATAAAATCAAACAGTACAACCGTGAAAAGTCTACAAAATCCAACGTTGATGTGTTTTTCAAGAACTTGCCTATTATTACTCCCAGCAGAAGGAGGCTCAGGTTCCAAATTTGGGACCGCTTCAGAAACACTGTTCTGAAACGTTTTCTCGATAAGATGGTAACTGAATAAATAATATCATAAAGTTAATCAAGAATCTTCCATAAACTACATGAAAAATGCAGCTTTCTTAACAAGTCCTTCCATTACATCATTCCTCAAAATACTATGGTTCTGCTTCATGAAACATAGGTTCTCCTTCTCTATCTGTTCGTCAATCTGTCGCAGAAAGCCAACATCATCAAGAAGCATATGCCCGCTTAGAGTGTTCCGGTAAGGCTCTTCAGGGGGACGCACTGAGAACTCTTTACTGCAACCTGAAAAACGGCTCCATTACAAACTTAACTTTCATTATAGTCGTGAATAAATCACCGACTTCCGCCTCCAGTATCGATATTTTACTAGAAATCACTCACTTGGTTCAGAAGACTTTGAACAAGTTTCCTCGCAACGTCCTAACGCAGCTGCTTGTTCAGTAAATTTTCGTCTCTTTTCCTTTGCATCTTCAGACTTCTTACTCTCTCCATTCAATTGATTTTGTGAAAGTGATGAACCAGCAACCTTAAGAGCATTTTGTGACGTCTCTCGTATCCTCTTCTCTGACTATAAAACTGTTTCGTGTAAACCGTACTTTGAGATTCGCTCTAGTTTTAATGAGGAATTAAAACTTTTTTGCTAACTAGGCGACAAACATAAAAACCTTTTCCTCTGCAGACGCTCGGTGCTTTTTCAACCAAGAACCGTCTCTTTTTTCCACTAGTTTGCTTTGTTGAATTGCTCTTGTAGTACACGTTACTTTCTTCTCCTGGAACCTCATAAAATAAAAAAAAAAAAGTATGACAACATGTCACGACGCCCTGAAGCTCCTAAAAAAATCTAAACGATCGAACTCCCACTTCATAACAATTGAAATACAAACTAAAATTTGAACATTACTACCTTAAAATACCTTCACATTTCAGCTGCAAAAAAAAAAAATTCCATCAAATTCTACAACCTTTATTGACGCTTCTTTTGAACTAGATGAACAAGATTTCACTTCAGAAGAGAAACCACAAGATTTTTTCGCCAATGGCAAAGCTGCTTGCGATCCTAGAATGTGATTTTATAAGCGAAGAAACAAAACTATTGCATTCCACCAGTAGTAATTTTTCTCCCGAAGCCCCAACGTCTAAATTATTTTTACAAAAAGTACCGAAAAGTCCTCCCTTTTTCACCGGAACCTCTGCAGGTCCTGACTTGTGCTTTTTTTTTCTGTCGTGCTCGCCAATGTGGAGACCTAAAGAACTATACCTGACTCGGCGGATATTTCGGAGCAAACAAAAAAATTCTTGAAATACCTGGCGAATTTTCACTAGTTTCGCTTTCGAAAAGAGCATCAATCTCTCTGCTAGTTAATCTCTTAAGCTTCGGTTTATGTGCAGATAAGAAAGGCGAGCTCTTACGCCTGGTGTGCTCCTGTAAAAAATTTCACTGTTTCCGAAACCCGTGAAGATGAGAGAAAATATTAAATTAGGCGATGCAGTTACAAAAACCAATTTCTAAAACACTGCGAACAGCACTAGACACAAAAATTAATAAAGCTCTTGCAATAACACCACAAAAAAATCGTTAATGAGCCATTTGTTAATGAAAAGCCAAACAAAAAAGGCTGATTAAGTTACTTCCAATATCTCATCACACCGCCTCAGAGCGAACTTTCTGTCCCTTTCCAGAAATTTTCCAGCCAACTGTCGACCCTTCTCGCATTCTGAAACTTCCTAGATATCAGCAGTTTTCCGACGAACCAATAAGCTCAAATTAATGAGCAATTACCAGAAGAGGGCTTGCACAGTACCGGTTGCTTCAATTACCTTTCTTGATGTCACTAACGATGTTTTTTAACCACAACGGGCGACCTGAATAATTTGACGATCCCTCAATATATACCGACCGGTAATTCTCAGCTGCAGTCCCACGGATATTTAATAAATTGTCAGAACTAGTTGAAGGCCTATCAGAACAATGATCCACAAAACGTTTCTGACGGCGGAAGCTACAGAGAACAGGATCTTCCACACACTTTTTGCGCTGAAAATGATCCTGTGGCTCATGTAAATGCTTTCGCGCTTTTTCTGATTCTTTTTCTCGTACCGTCGCTTTTTCTGCCTGCCGCCAACATGGCCGAACATAAGGCAAATCCCAATCATTCGTACGAGGTTTGCTGATCTCCTGCTAAAAGAAATAAAAGCAATTATAGCCACATTTCAAGTGTGTTGATCACAGAAACTTCCAAATAATAAAGCACCTTATTTTTCAAACACGGGTAGTCTTCCTCATCCCATCTGTGCTTAGCAGCACTGTCTTTCTGTCCTGTAGACGAACTTGCTGCAACAACAAGGTAGGTTGTAGATCGTTTTAATCACTTCTGAGGCATGCGTAAAAGCTCTGATATTATAAACCCACTAACTGAGATAACTGGACAAACCTCGTCTTGGAGTAGCAATAACTCGTCTCGTAGGAGATACACGTTGCGTCAGGATTCTACCATCTGGAGTCTTACCACTTTTATTGATACCTGCACGAACTGGACCAAGTTTGTAAAGTTCACTTGGAATATTTTGTTCTCGAACACTCTTCGCTCGTCTCATGAAGTTACTACCTCCTCATGAAATAACCGGTAGAAATACTGTACAATTACTACCGCAATACAGATACTGAACAGAATTTCGCTGACTGCCCTGTGAGGCACTGACTAAAAACAGAAAGGCTGAAAACAGTAGCCCCTCGTTATAGCGTACACAAATTATTAAAAAAAAATCCTTCAAAGGACCAACAAAATAGTCAGCAAAAGAGAAGTCTGATACTAACCTAACAGAACTGTGATACTTTACGGAAGTACAGTCCCTATCTTCAGCTTCTCTCACTTCAAATTCTCAACAATGCCTCCAACAAAGTTTTACGGTCCGAAATATCTTAAAACCGAAGAACTGTTCATCTAGAACATCGTCCCTGAGAAAACATTCAGAGGCCATACAAAAAATAATTTTTTACAGTAGCGAAATGAGAAATGGAGAAATAAACGTGGAAAAAGAGAAGGTAAATAGAAAAAAATCTCCAATCTAACCACATGATGGGAGAAAGATACTTTTTTTTTTTAGAGCATCTTTTTCAAAGAAAAATTCTTCTAAAAAATTTGCTGTTAAACATCTGAAAGACTGCAATAAAAAAATTGTCGTCCACCACTTCACGCCAGCGTTAAAGAAGTAAAAATAAAACTAATACATCCTCCTTTTCCTTATCTGTACAATCAATGCACAACCATCGCTTACAGGTTACAAAAACGGAATAATCAGCATCAAATAACCA